TTTTGTTTTCTTGAGGTAAATACACAGAAGTGAAATTGCTAGATCATATAGCAGTTCTATTTTTAATTTTTTCAGGAACATCTATGCTGTTTTCCATAGCAGCTGCGCCAATTTGCATTCCCACCAACAGTGCATGAAGGATCGCTTTTCTCCACATTCTTGTCAATGCTTTGTAATCCCTTGATGATACCATTCTGACAGGTGTGAGGTGGTATCGGATTGTGGTTTTGATTTGCATTTCTCTGATGATTAGTGTGATGTTTGGCATCTTTTCATATGCCTGTTGGCCACCTGTATGTCTTCTCTGATTATGATGTTGGCTGTGGGTGTGTCATACGTGGCCTTTATTATGTTGACATATGTTCCCTCTATGCTCACTTTCTGGAGAGTTTTTTATTGTAAATGGATGTTGAATTTTATCGAAAGCTTTTTCTACAACTACTGAGATGATCATATGGTTTTTATTCTTCAGTTTGTTAATGTGGTGTATTATGGCAACTGATTTGTGTATACTAAACTATCCTCGTGTTCCTGGCATAAATCCTACTTGACTATGGTGTATGATCCTTTTAATGTAGTGTTGAATTCAGCTTGCTAATATTTTGTTGAGGATTTTTGCATTTATGTTCCTTTAGTTTTTAATTTCACAAAAGCCTTTGTATAATTGAAAATGTTTTCTTGAAGAAATCCATCAGTGATATTGACTTGTAATTTTCTTTTTTTGTTGTATCTTTGTCTGGTTTTGGTACTAGGGTGATGTTGGCCTTGTACAATGACTTCAAAAGTATTTCTTCCTCTTCAATTTTTTTGGAATAGTTCGAGAAGAATAGATGTTAACTCTTCTTTGGTAGAATTCCTCTGTGGAACTGTCTGGTTCGGGACTTTTTTGTTGGAAGTTTTTTAAAGTAATGATTCAGTTTCATTACTGGTAATCAGTCTGTTCATATTTTCTATTTTTTCTTGACTCACTCTTGGGAGATTGTACACTTCTAGGAATTTATCCATTTCTTCTAAGTTGTCCATTTTATTGGTGGATAATTGTTTGTAGTACTCTCTTATGATCCTTAGTATTTCTGTGGTGTCAGTTATAACTTCTCCTCTTTCATTTCTGATTTTATTTATTTGGGTCCTCTCTCTTCTTTTCTTGATAAGTCTGGCTAAAGGTTTATCAATTTTGTCTATCTTTTCAAAGAATCAGCTCTTGGTTTCTTTGATCTTTTTTTTTAATTCTTTATTTCACTTATTTCCACTCTGATCTTTACTTCTTTCCTTCTAATAACTTTGGGCTTTGCTTGTTCCTATTCTTCTGGTTCCTTTAGGTATATGGTTAGATTACTTATTTGAGATCTCTTCTTGTTTTTACACAATTTAAATGCTTCTTTTACTTTCTCTTTCAAATTGTTTTCTAGTCTTCTTGCTTGTTCTCCTGTTTCTTTCACCTGTCACCACGTGACTTAGCATTTGGTGCTGTGAGCCCATGTTCAGAGGGGGTTATTGGCTTCAGCAGTGCTGTAGGTTTCACCGGAGGCATACTGCCTCAGCCAGGGGCACAGGGAACAGGATGGCCAGGGACACACGTGGTGGTTACTTTCCTGACTTGGTGCTTCTGTATTATGTAGTTGGTAAAAAATCTTACCTTTATTCTCCTGCCCACTTCCTTGAATCACTGAGCCCTCTGGAGCCTGACTTCTACGGGGGACTCAGCTTTTGCCTGCTTGCCTTGTTGGTGTCCTGTATCTACATCACTGTTAGGATCGCAGCCTGCAGACCCCCGGGCCTGGAGCCCCCACAGGTTTGCTTACTGCTTAGATTTTGCATTCCCTTTTTGTTTCCTGTACCTGCGGCTTTCCTTCTCATTCCTTTGAGCCAGGCCACATATTACAATTTTTAAAATCTTATTTTATGCAGAATTTTGGATCCATTATATTGACCATAAGTCCAAGAATTATTTTAGGTTTCTAAGTGATTGATTTGTTTATTTTATTTTTAAGCAATGGCAAGGAAAGCAGGAGAGAACTGCGTGTTGGCATCTGCTTTTTGTTTTCTGCTTATATTTATCATCTAAGAATATATTTAAACAATTTCTACATTTTTGGCATTAATATGTTGGTGTTTTCTTTGTGTCTTAGTGCAATAAATGTTTAAAGGTATTCATAGTCACTTAAAAAAGGTATATGTATCTGCTCTATAGCTTTAATTTTTTTATTATTCATCCAAAGACTTGGAAAGTCATGTTACTATATCCCATTATAAATGAAAATTTTCAATACATTCTTTTTTGTTTAGCAGTTTTTCATTATATAATCTGCTACAAATAATACATTAATTATTTAAGACTCCAAGGCCTGAATCATGTTTCAAGTGGCTGGAGCCACAACAGCCTCAGTGAGCCTTCAGTTAGTCTTTTTCTGATTAATAATGGCACTTCTATTTTTTGTTATAAAATGTAATGCCGCATTTGGTGAAAAAAATCTTGAAAGAGGAAATATATACTATAAAATGAAAATAGATAATGCTTTAAAACTTGGATATAGTGGTGAAAAAGGAGAATAGGAAAACTAAAAGAGTCCACGTTTATTTTATTTAACAGGGACAACTCAGCGGAGACACATTCATAAGATCGATAGAGAAATGCAGATTTTAAAATGTTGCATTTTAAAATTGGTCTCTTCTGTCCTCCATAGTTTCTTGTTCGTATCATTTACTTAATGAAAATGAACAGATGAACTAATAAATGAAGGACAAGTTATTCCCCCCCCCCAATTCTAATATTTCCCTTTTAGTTAGAATATTTTAAATAACCATTTGAGTTCAGGAGTGTTGCCTGCAGCCTATAATATGGCTGAGTCACTGTCTTCCTCTTCTCCGGTCTGTCAGCCCTTGTGCCGGCAGCACAGTTAGGTCTGTGGTTTAAGCTGAATCCCTACTCCTTTGTTTACTTATTTATTTTGAATATGAATCAGGTGGAGCGCCTGTGCAGGTGTCTGCAAGTTTATATCAGGAAAGGAAGAGAAGTTAGTTTCCCAAGAAATAAAATTTCATGGAGAAGTTGGAAAACGTGCCCTCAGTATGTCACTCTATGAATCCACGGCACATTTGCATTTCTTGTTATCTTACTATAGGATGTCTGCATAACCTTTCAAGAAACGCAACACTCCACCCCAAGTCCACTGATACTCAGAGAGACGCTGGGTCTGAAGGCTTGCTTGTCTGGGAGACCTTCTTCAGAAGGTGTCGATGTCTTTGAGTTTAACCCTCAGGAGTTTCTGCTCTTAGACTTGAGATTTTGGTTAAGGAGAGAGAAAGGGAAGGCAGACTTAGGCGACATCACACAAGAAAAGGCGAAAAAAAAGGAGAACTCTGTAGAGGGCGCACGTCCAACTTTCACACTGTGACCGCTTGGGGATATTTCAAAATGTTTTCAAATGGCATGTACTTTTTGGATACGTGAGGGCATTTCCAAGTATCAAGAAAAAAATAACTGAATATTTCAAATGTTTGGAATTACTCCCAATTCAAGAAATCCAGATGTTTGTAATGAAGCCATTTCATATCTCTGTTTAAATATTCAAGTGGGTTTTAAGATGATACAGAGGGAAAAAGGCATACTCCTCAATTCTTCCTTTTAAAAAATAGGATAGTATGTACTCCACAAGGCTATCAGGAGGACAAAACTTGTGGAAATGGTCAGTCAATAGACCTGAGTACCCTCTCCATCCTCCTTGCCCTTTCTGCCTCTCAGGGCTGTTGTGGGAAAAAGATGGGAGGTATTTAAAGTGACATGGCACTACAGAAAATGCAGTATATTATTATTGCTTATTGCTGCACATACTGAACCAACAATTATGTGTGTGATGGATACCAGATGTAAATAATAACCAGGGCTCCTGGCCATCTGTCTTCCCATAATCCGTCTTCTCCGTCTTTCCTGGACAGCTGGCTGAATCACACGTCTTTAAATTAAGAACTTGCCTGCTACAAATGTCTTGTGAAAGTGCCAGTGTTATGAGAATTCATTTTTCCCATGAGATGCACCAAGTTTTACTTCCATGTTCCTGTATTTCAGGTCAAGACGACAGTATTCCCCATGACGAGGGGTTTTTTGGCTGCTCCAAGCAAGAATCATCCAGATTCAAACAAATTCCAGACTCTACACCCGCAAACCTAACAGGCTTTTGGTTTATCCAGAATTAATCCATTTAAACCACCGCTTTCCCCCTCTTGCGTTGGACAGTCCCTAATATTTTGTTAAGGAACCTCACGCTGCCTAAGCCATAACCAGCCAGTCTGAAAGGTACACACGTCGCTGAACTGGGAGACAAGTGCCTTCCCTGATGGGAGCGAGGGCACCGCAGGGACCAGCTATGCCTCTGCTGGACCCCTTTCCAGCAGGGAAGACCATTCTCTGCCCTTTCCTGGCTGTGATAGGAAGACTGGGCTGGGGATCCCCTTCCCGGAAGCAGGCATAAGAACCCCGCAAACGACAAGAACTTACTGAGCGTGAGAGACTCGTTGATCTTGAAGCTGCAGAGGACCCTGTCCACGTTGCGGGCGTGGCGGAAGCCGTTCCCTCTCACCACAACTTGAAATGATTCTGAAATGACAATGACAAGACACCGTGTTTGACTGCAGACCAATTTAGCCTTGAGATTTCCATCTGCCCTGATGTAGGGCGTTTGTTAACTGCCTCACCAGGCTTAAAAGATTTGAGTTTCAAATAATTCCAAAAAACTGGGAAACAAAAGCATCTGTGTGGAAGCCTTTTACCACTGATTCACCACCCCCCTCAATCGGTGTCCACCAAGATGGCACAGCACTTCCTACTTTGAAGTCCCACCTTCCTGCTTTAGCTGGTGATGCTCCTCCCACCTGGAAGGCATGCCTCCCCCGTCTCTGTAATGCAGACCGCACCTATCTCTCAAGTCCTGCCAGTTTTAAAAACTGTGATCTCTGACACCAGAGGGCCACAGGGAGGGGCTCTCCTCCTCTTGAATCAACTCAACCCCTCTTAGGTCTCTTAACATACTGGATGCCTGGGACAGGATTTCTTTAGAACTCGAGGTGCCTAACGTTTTTGAAAATCACTGCCTTGTGGCATTCACAGTCTGTCCTGAACAGTGTAGGATGTGGTTAGTTACCATCTGGTGTTACTCTTCTGTCTCTTCTTGCACAACTAGAAAAACATTTCTTTAGGTTAGAAACTGATGAAGCTTCAGCTCTCCTGTGTCTGCAGGGCACACAGGAGGAGCACCTAGTGTTATGTGGCCGTAGCTGTACTCAGTAGGGAAGCAAAGTCTTGCTTATTGGTGGCCAGTTGTCAAGCATTGCCTGTTTGAACTGACACTGGCCCCTGGTACAGTCAGAATTAAATTCTTTCTGAATAGAAAAGAGAATCCATCTTGCAGGTCTCTAGCCCTGCATGTTAATTTCACATTGACCTAATGCATGTCGAATTAACACATATTAAATTATGAGCCTTTATAATAGCCTTATGAAGGGGAAAAAAAACCCCAGCTAAGCTAAGTCATTAAATGTTTAGGAATATTTGCTTAAGTTTGATGGTAACTAATGGCCAATATTCCACTTTCTTCGATTTTTGTCATCTTTTTGCGTATAAAAACTGGAGCTTGAGATAATGCTTTGTGGCACATAAAAAAAAAGACTAAAAGTCAGAGGAAAAAACTGCAATATTTGTAAAAGTTGATCTTGAAGTGTACAAGGCTATCAAAATGGAGATCTTCATTGGAGGAAGAATGGAATTAAAGGACTAGCATATGGGACTCTTCCAAACTCTAATAAATGTCATGGATGTAAGTCACCACCATTCCCAGGAAATTGAGAGATCATGTTTGCCAAGAGAATAATAACCGATATCAGCTTCTCCCTCTTTGTGTGCCCTGTGCTAAACATTGTCCACGTTTGATGTCATTTAAGCCTCACCACCGCCGACAGAGGTACAGATGAGAAAACCAGGCTTGGTGAATGAGGTTAAGTAACTCATTCAAGATCACACGGCTGCTGGTAGCTGACAGAGTCAGAACTGGAGTCCAGGTTTGTCAGGTAACAAATGCCATGCCCTGAGAACTCAGCCAGCGTGCTCTTTACCATGATGCTAAAATGGATCCCTGAGGTCGTGTGACATATGATTCACTTATAGGTTGACATTGTGATTTTTCAAAAACCCTATTTAATTTTTATTTTAGACAGGTTTGTCTGTTTTGCAGAAAAGTCGTGCTGGCCTGGATGGGAAGCAAGAAACTAAAACCGAACTAAAAGAACCCGGAGGCGCTGAATGTGTTGCAAAGAGAACAAGGTAGAACAGAACGGCGTTTCCAACGGTGAAGGAGCTTCACAGTAAGGAAACCGAGATTCTGACGTTTTCAGTGACTTGCCGGAGGTCATGTGAATTGTAGCTAGTAAGTAGCAAAATTGAGACCTGTATCCAAGTGTTCACTGCCTTAGTTTTGAACTATATTAAGGTCAGTGGCAAATGCTGTTTCAGGACCATAAGTCTTATGACTATTAAGGATTTAGATATGCACACTGATGCATACATACGATTGCTAAGTTTAGAAGGATTTGAGGCAGGAGGGAAGGGGGCAGGGTGTAATCATTAAAAGAATGACGCAGCCATTAGCACCAAGAGGGAGGAAGATTCAACTCCTGTAGACCTTGAGCTCATTATAATACAATAGCATGCTAAATAGCACTCCCCCAGGCTCCTCGACAGCTTCCAGGCTGACCATAAAAGTTTAAAAAGTGGATGCTAGCTCAGTTCCTGGGAATCCCAGCCCTTCCCCCAAAGCAGTTGGAATAATTCTCCCACTGTTAGCATGTGAAGTTACCGAGCCCATAAAGACTAACAGCCCCACTCCTAGTGGCCTTTCTCTTGCCCTTTGAGATGACCCACACTCTGTCTATGGAGTGACTACCTACTTTTACTTTAAACTAAACACCCGCCGCAATGCCTCGTGGCCTCTCCGGCCTTCTGAGATGGCCTGCGTTCGAGCTATGGAGTGTGCATCTCTCTGAATAAATCTGCTTTTACTCAACTATGGTCTGCTCTTGAATTCTTTCCTGTGTGAAGCCAAAGACCCTCACTTGGCGGGGCGCGCGCCGGACACGCCCATCCTCTTGCGGTCCATTTCCCTGTATCAGATGGGCTGAGGTTTTCTTTAGAGGTCTGCCTGCCGCGTGACTGATGATGCAGCTGCTCCAACAAGCATTCTATTAAGTGTCGAGCATTGTGGGAGAATCTTACTGTATCTTAAATTAAGCCTTTAGAAACTTATTCCTGTCTTTAGTCTGATTGCTAGACACCCAGAAATCTGCCCTTTTGCTGATTAAAAATGTTTTCTGCCTCATTGCTGTGCCTCCTTCTCTTCCCCGCAAAGATCAGTGGAGGGAGGGAAGACTCTGGAAACGCAGACTGTGTGCCAAGCTCTCTTCTCTAACCTCATGTTCTAGCATTACCCGCCCTGCTTCTGCGTCCTCTGTAGCAGAGGATCCCTGCATGGCTGCTTGGCCCGCCCTCAGGGTGTTAGGAAGAGAGACAGCAGGAATCCATGAGCAGCCCTGGTAGAAACCAAACAACTTAACCCCCTAGGCCTGGGGAGCAGATGGAGGAAATGATGCTGGCTCCGGGAAGCGCACCAGAGCAGAGGCGAGCTTCCACCCTGCCTGGTAGATTTCTGTGTTAGGACACACATTTGGCTTCTAGAAGAGCCCAGATAGCTGACCGCGCAGCCTGACTGGAACATCGACGCGTCACACACAGAAGTTATGTAACAAACCCCTGTCAAATGAATCAGCAAGCGAGAACCAGGACATATTGCTCTAATTCCATTTATCCACAAAGCTACCTTTCACAATATGTACAGCAAGTGTTTTTAGGCCACATGCATGTTCTTTTTAGATGATGAAAACATTCTGGAGTTTGACAGTGGTTATGGTTGTATAACTTTTTGAGTATATTAAACATTACTGAATGGTACTCTTTGAAAGGGTGAATTTTAGGGTATGTGACTATTAGCTCAATTTTAATAAAGAATATTAAGGTCAGTGAATAGTTTGCTAAACTTATTCCATTATGTTCCCTCCTTTTCTTTTTCGCTTTTCTTTTCTTTCTCTCTCTCTCTCTCTCTTTTGAAACGTGGAGCACGCAGTTTTTGAGATGACTTCAGTAAAGATCGCCTATCAATCATTGTGTCTGAAAATGAGACATCTCTATAGTCACCATTTGCTCTGGTTGCCCAAAACTTTTCACGCAAAATTACTGTTAGTATATTTCCATCTCGTGGGTTAGTTTGAATTTGCTCTCCTGTTAGATGCTTACTGTGACACATAACATCTAAAATAGAACACAGACACTGGTGTGTATTAAGTGCTTTCTGATGCCTAAATTCCTCTAGAAGTTTTCTCACTTACAACTATTTACTAATACGAGCTTTAGTGAGGAATAACTAACGCACAACAACTTGGATGTGAAGTGTATAATTTGACAGGTTTTGACACATGTATACAGTCATGGGGCAATGCCACAATCAAGATAGCGAACACCTCCATCACCCTCAGAAGTTCCCGTGTGCTCCTTTGTGATCTCTTCCTCCTGCCTCCTCCCACACCGTTCAACCACTCAGCTGCTCTTTGTAGTCACAGATTAGTTTGCATTCTCCAGAATTTTATGTAAATGGAATCACATATTAAGTATGCTTTTTTTTTTTTTGGTCTAGCTTCTTTTACTCAGCCTCACTACTGGAAGACGTACCCATAATTATTCTGAGGTTTATGTATGGCCTATTCCTTTTTATTGCTGAGTATTATTCCTTGTATGAAAATCACAATTTGTTTATCCATTCACCTCTTGAGGAATATTTGAGTTGTTCAGTTTTTGGCTATTAAAAATAGAGCTGTGATAAACATTTGTGTGCAGGTCTCTGTCAGGACACAGAGTTCCTTTTTTCTTGGGTAAATATAAACACCTAGGTACTAGTAGAATGGCTAGGTCGTGTGGTAGGTGTATGTTTACCTTTTTGAGAAACAGTCAGAAATGTTTTCCAAAGTATTTGTGCCATTTTACATTTCCACCAACAGGGTACCAGGGTCCTTCTTCCCAATAGAAATATCTTTAAATAAAAAGGAAGCCCAATCGGAGCATTAAGCAGTCAGTTCAGAAGAGATGCCTATGGGCCAGGCGTCTTTGAAAAACAATGAAAAATGAAAGAAATGAAACCACTGTTTGATGTTGCTTAAACGTGTCATGTTACCGAATGGTAAACACGCAGACTAAATCGACCTTCCTTTGCGCTCACTCACCCAGTTTTGTGACAAACGATGGGAAACAACAGAGTAGGAATAAGACAGTTGCTTCTGAAATGACAATGTGGGGAACTAGTGACAGATAACCTCCATCCATTTCTGGAGTACAAAAACTTCAAATGTTGAGCCGTTGGCAGGCTGCACACTTAATTCCAATTAGTTCCTTCCTGGAGCACTTGCTTATGTACAACACTGGGAGCTATTCAAGTCTGAGGCCGACTGAGTGGGACCAGAAGAAAATTGTACTCAGGCAGAAGGGTGCATTTCCTCAAGAGG